TTCTTCTTCTTCTTCATATTCTTCTTCTTCTTCTTCTTCTTCATATTCTTCTTCTTCTTCTTCTTCTTCATATTCTTCTTCTTCTTCTTCTTCTTCTTCATATTCTTCTTCTTCTTCTTCTTCTTCATATTCTTCTTCTTCTTCTTCTTCTATTTTGTATTTATTGAAATAAGTAAAAGGGATTGCATTCAATAGAATATTTATATCTCGTTTCAGACGAACGCGTACATTGTGTAAACAGGATAACATTAAACATGACGGTTAGGCTGTTTCATGTTTTCCTATTCCTTTGTGGATTGTGCAATAAAGAAATTTTGTAAAATACAGATAGTTTTTATGCAGGAAATTAGTTTTTTATTGACAATATTTGGAACACACGAATGTTAAGGAAATATGTGTAATTTGTACTTTTTATTTTCGTTTCTCATTGGAATAAGATGTACATTTTAGATGTACATTCTATATCAAAGTTTCATGGACGTGGTGCAATTTCCTTGCGTAAGTACATTTCCGCTATGTTAGATCTAATGGTGAAACGGAAATTAAATCACCGTATGAATGCATATATAATATTCTACAGGATGATATAAAACGAAACCAAATAAAAAAAAATACACATAGGACACTTACTAGTTTTTTTTAATACCGCGCGGACGGAATTGCGGGCGACGGCTAGTTTCAAACTACATTTAAAAACCTTTTGACCGATGTTAAGGACATCATTTAAAAGGTTTACGTAAAATAGCTTAGATAGACCGAAGGCAGCTACCTCGGACAAAGAATTAGTTTAGCTATCCAAAGGGGCAAAGCTGCTAGTATCTTCGGGATTGCCTCTTTAGGCAGTCCCTTTGGAGTCCCTTTGGACTCCGTTTAATAATATATTTTAGTAAATTATTCGTTTTTAATATTTTATTTTATAACATATATTTAAGACTATTTATTACATTCTTTGTTAGTTTATTGTTAGATATAAGTATTAATATTTAAATAGCTTTAAATGTGAAGAAATTTGATGTAATTAATAAACAATTTGGAAACCATAGTATTGTGTGATAAAACATCAGATCAATTTAAACTCGTTTGATGTAAATATGAATACTCAACGTGAGCGAATACATTTGAGTTCAACTATTTTTTATTCTCTATTGTACTTTAGTTGTTTGAGAGTTAAATCACAATAATTGCAACTGAAGTATACAAAATTTAGCACTTGCAACTAAAATTAGGAATAAAATGTTGTTTTAGATGGAATTCTTTTTTTCAATTTTTGATAGTAGTTAATAAGACAAAATTGACTAAAAATTAAGCTTTTAAACAGTGGTAGAGCCCGCTTTAACATCTTCGGACGAATTGTCCCGGCTCGCCCGGTGAAATACCACGACCACACAGAAGACAGGCGTGAAATGGAAGCAATTCCGCGTTACGTCTGATGAGTGTGCGTCACGCAGGCCTCATTTAGTCCATTTTCCCTTCCCACCCTTTTTCTTATAAGGAAAGGATGGGAAGTGGAAGTGGACTTTCCGGATGAGAGGATGCATTGGAAGGGAAAATATTTTCTTGCTGTGCATCCTCTCCTCCGTCGAGTAAAGGTAGGCAACGTATATGCAATTGCGTATGTCTATGTGCAACGGTCACTTCACTATTTCAGCGATTTCAGGTGACCGCCCGCTCGTTTGTCACTTTATGATATAAAAAAGCTATACAGCTTTATTTCTTAAAGTTTTCAATGTTATCAATTGTTTAAAAAAGCATAGAGATAAACATATAATTGTTGCTTTTAATTATAGTTAAGAATATAAATATTTACTGACCCTTTTCTAGTATATTTTAAATTTAAAAAACGATATCTCAACACATGAATAAATATGCAACTAATTCTATTTTTTTACATAATATGTAACGTAGTAAATAATGTAGGAAATGTAAATAATAAAAGGCGAGGCGACAAAGAAAATTATTACGTTCACACCGATGTTTTTATTACTTTTCTTGTTTAACATCTTTGATTCGGAAATAATGTAGGGTAGTAAGAAGGAAGAAATTTAAAAATATGATTTTCGCACTAAGCTTCGTATCAAATAATTGTTATTTGCTTTTGGTTGTCTTTTACGAAGAAGCCACTAAGCTTATATTAAACGTAATGTATTTTTTTAATATTAAATATTTAAGCACAAGCAAGTTACTCTAAGTCAGGTTACTGTAAAGGAAATTTACATGTGTGTCGTCAACCAATCCACGCTTAACCAGCGTACTTTAAGCCTTAACATCTCCAGGATAGACTCGATTCTCTTGATGGGGACTTTACAAGGATATTACAACCGGAATAATTGAAACTGAAGAATGAAGTATTTGCTGAATATAGTACGAATGTAAAAGGAAATTTACGTAACAATTGAAACTGGCTTCCTGCCAAACTACTATTTGCTTGCTACATTTCATAATCGACGGGTGACCTGTGAAGTATCGTTCTAACATTTTCCTCCGTATCACGAAAAAACCTTAGGTACATTTTATCATTTATAGTTTTTAAGCTTTAAATCTACTTAAGTGAAACTGAATATTCTAACTGTGTAGTTAGAATCATGTCTGTGTAGACATAATAGTATATCGTACTTTCTTTTTCTCTTCCTTTATGTGTCACATGGGGACTTCAGAAGTTATTTATGGACCTTGAATAATTAAGTTCCATTGTCTTCTAATATTTCCCACATTACCTTACACGTATTTTATTATGTGTTATTTGTAATTTAGTATAATTTTTGTCTTATTTTCGTATAAAGTAAGATATATTAAGAAGCGATGAAATATTATTATCATTTAAAAAAATGATACGTATGTTGAACTCTAAAAATAATGTTGGCAAGTAAAAGAAAACATTACCTGTTTTTTGCTGAATTTTTTTCTATGTTTGTTTTGCTTTTTTTACAAAACTTGATCCAAAAATCAAATATTAACCTTTAAACTACTGAAACTATAGTTTACTAGAGCTTAGCAAATGAATGAAACAAATTTTATGCGAGTATTAGCTAGCACTGATTGCTCTACCGCAAATCACTCGGCGTCCACGATTAATTGCTCGTAAACACGAAACGTTCTCGCTTTAACTAAAGCTACTTGGTAACAACCATGTTCCAGTGATATTTAACATCCTCTATAAATTCTTTTTAAGAAATTTATACTACCAACTAGTTGTCGACTTCATCCACGCGGTATAAAAAAAATAATTTGTAGCCTACTATGTGTTCTTCCAGACTATGTTTTACATGTATGCCAAGTTTCATCGAGATCCATACAGCTGTTCTGGAGATATCTTCTAAAAAAATATCCATCTATTTACACATCCAAACTTTCGCATTTATAATATTGTCAGTTTGACTTTTAATGTTTAAAGTCAACATAAAATCTACATGTTTTATTCAAATCTTTTACGTTGCGTTAATTATTTATGAAATGGGAATCAAAACAAGGATAACTGTGTGTATTCACTCTAAAGATTATATTTTTTGACAAACGTCTACCAAATACTTTCTGAATAAAACAGACTCGCACCTGTCGTTTCTCTAAATATTCAATATTGGAAAGTCAAAGAGAAAATTCGAAAGGAATAACATATAAAGGAACCATGCAAGGAAGGATTTGGTTTCATATTTCTCTGTGAGTTTTCATACATTGTTTTGTAATCTGTAGTACAACAATTGCCTGTTATGTGTTCACATTACATACAAAATTGTTTTATGATCAGTTTAATGCGTCAACTGAATTCATCGCTCTTTATTATTAAATAATTGCGAAGTGGTATCAATTAAATGGCATGTCAAGTATCATTTTGATATAAAGTTCTAAAAGTAAACGATGTTATTGACGATTGCCACTATTTAAAGTTAAATAAGTTAGAAAAAAAATAGAATTGACCCAAACAAAAAATGTTAAGTTGAATTAAATCCTCCACCGAATTAATAGAATACATCGTTATAGATTTACTTCAGTTTAGTGACATTAAAAAAAAACATCCTATGCATATATTTTCATGCATTTATTATGTTATTCGTAATGACAATGAAAACAAAAAAAAAATCAGTCAATAATTTACATCATCATCAGCTTACCATACGTCCCCACCGAGGAGCTCGGAGCCTACCCTAAGTTAAGGGTGATTAGGCCATAGTCAACCACGCTGGCCAAGTGCGGGTTGGTGGACTTCATACATATATTTGAATTTCTTCTCAGATATTAATTTACATACATCATCAAAAATCTTGTTGTTTAACTTAAATATTAGTGTAAAAGGTTTAAACTATTTACCTTCTTCAATCTTAACATAAAATCAGGTTTCGTATTCTTAAGTGGATTGCTCACGTGGTAGCGATCAATCTTAAACGAGTCAC